GTGTGTGTGTGTGTGTGTGTGTGTGTGTGTGTGTGTGTGTGTGTGTGTGTGTGTGTGTGTGTGTGTGATGTGTGCTACCTGACTGATGCCCGAGGCGATCCACCTCCTCCACTCGGGTTCTTTTAAGCTTTCAAGACACAGAGCAAAGCAGAGCAAAGAGGCCGTGCATGTGTGTGTGCGTGCACTGTACGTGTGTGTTTTTGTGTGCATAGATTTGTGTCAGTCTTTGATAGGAGGCATTAGCCAAGTAACCACAGCTGGGACCGTGTGTGTGCTCAGCAGTGCTTGTCACTGGTTATTTATGGGATGATAATGACTTTTCTTGATGAGCAGATTTGGAGAGCCTATATGATATACCGTCCACGCACACACACACACACACAAACAAAGGCAAAGTTTACGACCCATGCTGACACTGCCACTTCCAACATTCCTCCATTGTTTTTCATACATCAACACTTTTTTTTGCATACCTATACTATAGACAGCGAGTGTTGAGGGAACCGCTGCGCCAAGTTGTCAGTGCATTTCTCTGAAACGTCCTGCCAGCAATTCACACTATGCTATCATCTGGAATAAGAAGGGAATTTTATGATAAGCTCAGTTTTCTATCCGTCAGAAAATATGTGAATTCTGCATTTCTCGGAGGTACAATTATAGACTCGGCATAATGTTATTGACATGAGAAATACAGTTTGTTTGTCAGCAGTGGGAAATAAAGTAGAAGTCACCTTGAAATGAAATATCCATTTCACCCATATTTGCAGCAACTGTCAGTCAGAAGTGGAAATAGTACCTAGATCCTTTACATATGTAAAAGTAGAAATACTACGGTGTTAAAATCCTCCCTTACAGGTAAAAGTTTTAAACTAATTAAAGAAGTACAGAACTATTATCAGCTATATTTACTCTTATTATATTATACTATCCTGATTTTATCTCAAATAAATACATATTTGATATTAATGTAATGTAAGGTATTAACGGGTAGTATTGTTGACCAAATTTGGTTCAAAGAAGCATAACATTGACATACTCATGTAAAGTACAGGTATGTCAAAACAGTACTTAAGTATGGTACTTGATTAAATATATTTTCTATTCACTGCTGGACTGAATAGCCACCATGTGACGCCACGTGACTGTAGACTTAGAGGTTCCTAAGTTCCATGTGGTGTTTGTATGATATTAATTTGCTGAAGATGTCCTGATAAAAACATGTGGCCTCCTCTCTTCCCTGGTCTGTTTGTCCACAGGGGCTTTTGTTTCTTCAACTCCGTGGCCATCGCTGCCAAGCAGCTTCAACACAAACTCCACGTCAGCAAGATCCTCATCGTGGACTGGGTAAGGACTCACCGCATGAACGGCATCACTGGTCCCCACATGGATAGGAATAAACAGACGAAGAACACACATGCACACAAATGTATCACGGCAAACAAACACGGTCCCAGAAGCAGAGCAGCCCCCTACAGTAGCATTTCTATTAATCATTTATTTTAATAAGTCAAAGTTTTCTCTGCTCTCCATGTCAGATCTGAACTGTCATGTATACTTAGAGTAGACACACACACACATATGAACACACACAGTCATATAAAAACACACACAAACACACATATGCAGATATTGATCCGCAGCCAGGTGGTCCTCTCTGCTCGCCATGTGTGTGTATATGAGCCTGTCCCATGTCATTACACACACTGTGCTCTGTGACAGATTAATGCATCAACATTAATTACTACCTGCTTCATCAAAAATGCTTCTAAGAATTAAACACATTTCCCTTTGACAAGATAAAGCTTTCCAGGTTTTTACAGACCCTGCTCTGGATTATGGGTTATGTGTTTTGATGTATACTTCATTATTAGAGAGTGGACTATCCTCTTCTCCCCTTTGTGAGTTGTGATCATTTAGTTGTTTTGAACAAATATGTGAATCCATAATGGCTTTCCCAGATAGGTCCAAGCTTTGAAACTTCCTCCATAACCTTGAAACTGAAATTCTAATTCCAGAGCTTTGTAAAGTCAATATATGTAATCATGTGTGGTTATTTCCAAGATTCACAACATTTTCTTCCTTATGATGTTCTGCTTCGTTCCATATTTGATGACATTACGCCTTTCGAAAAAAGAACATTTTCAATGTTTACACATCCTAAAATATGATATGCTCAAATCTTCATTACAAAAATATCAATTGAAGTTTTAAATGTCCACCGCAACTTCCTAACCTGTCATCCAATCATTGTCCAGGACGTTCACCATGGCAACGGCACCCAGGAGGCTTTCTATAATGACCCGAGCGTGCTGTACATCTCCCTCCATCGCTATGACAACGGCAACTTCTTTCCTGGTAGTGGACATCCCAGTGAGGTAAGTTGTCCTTCACAGCGGTGTTGTGTTGTTGTGCTTTGTTTGTGCTGTCATGGTAACTGCCTGGTGTTTGTGTGTGTTTGTGTGTACCTTGTGAAAACAAAAGAACAAAAGAGTAACACATGAGAAACACAACGCAGGTTCTCCTCGTCCAGAGGATTCCTTCACTCTGACTCGTGAGAATATATTTCACTTCATGATAATACCACCCATGTGAAGATATGTGGGCACGGATATGTTGGCTAATTATTTGATTCCAGAGGGACATTAGGAAGCTCAAGAGCTTTGTGTATTAGAATATGCTGTATGTCAAAACAGGAAGAATGATTGTCATAATAAATCCAGGAATAATCTGCATGATGTTAAGCCTCAATTATATCGTCAATTTGGTCATATTGATGGATAATTTGCAGTGCAGAGGGGAAATGGGACAGGTTAGCATGTATGTTATCCTGCTGTGGATTAAGGTGTTAAACCGAGGTTCTTGTGATACGGTAAAAACTAACTTAACTGACCACTGGAATCTTAGCAATGCGATCTTTCTATTAAATCTTAAAACAAAGTGCTTTCTTCAAGTTTACTTGGAAAATGTCTTTAAGTGTTTCTTTTTAGTGTTTTTCCATCTTAAAATAAATAGCTCAAATAAACTTGTTGCATTTGCTGCCTGTGATTCCTGCAATGTTTGACTTCAACATGCATTTTCCAAAAGCTACAAATATGTTTATCCAGTGAATTTGCGTCGTAAGCCCCGTCACACTTTGATTGTGTGTGCAGCAGGTTTATTTCCCCTGTTGGAGTTTATTGCAGAAACTTCAGAGCTTTGGATGTAAGAAGTTCACAACAGGATGTGTACAGTCGGATTGCATGCCAATGTTTGCATACAGGAAATTGAGATGCCTATGAATTCTGCCTGCGGTCTTACCAGAAACCAAGTGTGATGACTATCCCTAGTCAGATGAATTGACCCCAACCCACGGTGGCATTCACAACCCATTCTATCCCCCACATCCCCTCCTCTCATTCTCCCATCCTCCCCCACAATAATGAGGATAAAATAGTCAATGTTTTCCCATAAAATCCCCCGATGAGGGACGGTACATAAAACGCTCTGCTGACTTGGATGTGGCTTCGCCTTAAGTGGCCCCTCAGCCTCTGTTGAGCAGTGTGGTAAACCTCTGGAGTCTAGCTGTCCCCCGTGTAGGTATATAACACACCATGGGGTAGGGGTGTGATGTCATAGCCATAACAGAGAGCACACAGTACCACACAGAAACCAGCGACGGACTAATCCAGTCCAGCAACTCTTGAAACATGAAAGAGAGAAAGAGGATAGAGAAGAGTGCAAGAGACTTGGAGCAAAGGCAGGAATTGTGTGTGAGTGTGTGTGTGTGTCGGCGTGCACGGGCGCGTCCATGCGGGTACATTACCAGTTGGCAAAGGACAGGAGGCCTCATGTGTTTTTAGTTTGCCCTGTGAACATCCCGTCCACTGAGAGAAGAATGGAGACAGACGCTCTGCGATGCTCATCAGAATTCTTTCAAACATCCTCTCACACCCATACACACATATTTATGCACACACACAAAGGAAATTACCACGCCTTGTTGCCAAGACTGTGTCAATCAAGCTCCTCATTCTGCTCTCTAACTGACACATTGACTGATGGTGAAGGGCTTTGAGAATGGCTAAATGGCTGCTAGCAGGACTACAAAGGGAAAAGCAGGAATCTTTTAAACCTTCATTCCAAGACCCGGGCCTCAGTTCACTCTCTGCCCCAAATATGTGAGGTCAAACTTAACCCTCATCCACTCTGCCTGGCATTTTGGGAGTACACGTCAATCTCAATAGAGCAAATAAAATCCACTAAAATCATTTACAGTACCTCATCAAATCTAAATGAGTAATGTGGAGTAGTATTTAGGTTTTATTTGTCATGACATACACACCGAACCAACTAAATGTACATACAGAACACATGGTATACAGTCGAGTTATATACAAATAAAATATAAATAAAGCGTTTTACAAGATCAGGCAGCAATTTCCAAAAGTGAAATATTTCTCAGTATGGCTATAACCTAAAGCTGGGGAATCCTAAATGGTTGTAGCTCTGTTGTGGCTCGGACTGATTTATACGCCTATTTGACAAATTGTATCAAAATCAAAATGGAGGGACAGGGGTGTTGAATTAATAGCCATCCGTCTTTCATTTAGGAATCGTAATCACTCCCTGGTGTTGCCTTAAAGAGATTCAGCCTCTTTTCCTCGATTGGTGCAATGCAATGTTTTGAAACAGGCCGTGCTTATTTTGTGAACATTTGACACAAATATATCATCCTTACGCAGTTTCTCAACTTCCACTGGGACTAGTTAACTTTTCTAGACATTCACAGAGACTTTTTTCTCTCTTGGTCCCGCTCCCCCCTTTTCTCTCTCCCTTCATCTCTCCCTTCATCTCTCCCTTCATCCAGGTGGGTGCAGGTGCAGGCGAGGGCTTCAATGTGAACGTAGGATGGACGGGGGGTCTGAACCCTCCCATGGGTGATGCGGAGTACCTGGCTGCATTCAGGTAAATAAACATGCCTTTATCAGCCCATTCATATTTATTTCTTAAATGTGCTTGGTCTGTTCTTGTGTCTGCAGGTTCAAGCCCATTTTTGCTACAAATGACATATACTTACACATCACTTTCTTTCAAACATTTACCAAAAGCATAATATATATATATATATATATATATATATGTATATATATAATTAAATATACCAATACATTTATTTATTTTTCGTTGACTCAAACTGGTGATAAATTATTTTTAGACTCTAGTTTTATTTTTAACAATCCAGTTCCCTTACATACACAATGAGCACAGTCAGGACTCTGAGTAACTTACTTATCTTAATTAAGTTAAAGTTAACCATAACAAAAACAGAACTTAGGAGAAATAAACAAAGTTATATTTTAGCGAGACTAGAATGACTCAAATGTTCATACAATCTGATGGTCGATGCCCAAATATTCACTGACTAAAAAAAACTAAAACTTTTTAGTTGACTAAGACAAAAGACTTTTAGTCAAGTAATAAGATAATAAGGTAATAAGGATACTTTTAAACTAATATGATGAACAATGACATTCAACACCAGATTAAATAAAATAATAAGTGGTAAAATGAACATCTCCTGAGGTATGCTGCACTGTACCAAACTGTGGTGAGCTAGTTAAGCCAATGAAAGCACCAGATCCACACAATGACAGAAGAGCAGAACCAGCCAGGTCAGGAAAAGGCAGAAAGCATATTATATTCATGAGGAACAGGAATTAGAAGAGTGTGTGCCAGGACGAGTACAATGAGCCATTATTTTTTCTCCTCCTGGTTGAAGTCCAGTGGGATGCAACACCTGTGTGGGAGACAGACTTTAGAGTGTATTATCATACAATTACAATGCAATGTTGGATCTCCTTCTCCATGACGGATTACCTGTAGGATCTGGAACAGATTTCATAACTTCATTTTCTTAGTAAAACTGCTGTCAGTGTTCAAAACATAGATACGTCCTTAAGCCACAGCTTTCCGTTTATTGTTGTGCTAAAAACAAAACCTAACCTTTGCTCTCACCACAGTTTTTATTTAATTTTTCCTGAATGAATATACTTTGGTTCCGCTCTACACGGTAACAAACTCTGTCAGCAACACCGGCTCGCCACCAGATAATTAAACATTATGTGAGCTCTGTACAGTTCTGCATGCAGCCGACTCAGTGGGTGGGCCCCTCGTCAAAGGAAAGATGCTAATGAGCTAACCCATACTGGTAAAGAAAACCCGAAGAGCCAATAGAGAGGCTCGGAAACACTAAGTCCAGTGTTTACTGGAGCTTCGGATGCTAATTAAGAAACAACTGGTCTTTTTCCTGAGCAGGCGTCTGGTTTTGGTATTTTCTATCCAGTTTGGGAAAAGGCAAGTGTTTTCATGTGTAAAACTTCCTCAGTCGACCGCACTGCAGAACTGTACCGTATTGTGTGTTTGCCCGAGAAACTTTGCCCTGTATCAAAGCACTGAGGAGGAGGAGTGTCCCGGTGGTCCAGTGGTTTGAGGCACATACCAAGTAGCTGTGATGTCCGGGGCCCATATCCGCCCGAAGACCCTTGTTGCGTGTCATTTACTTCCAGTATCAACTATCTAATTAAAGCACCAAATTCCACAATGATATGAAAAAGGTCATTTTGCAAAAGTGCAGCAAAAAACATTTTTGAAAAGCAAAATACATCGCAGGAGGGATTTTTCCATCATTCTGTGGATTCACTGGTGCAAATAAATGCATAACACGCTTTACAGGCAACATTTTATGCATCAAGAATCCATGTTTATGCAATTAAGCATCGAGCCTGGTGCCAGCACTTTAATTCAATTTGAAAACATGATTTACACGGTGGGATGTTCCAGACTATGTGTTTTCTGTTCATGATGGAACAGAAAACTGGCAGTCGTCGATGATGCGTGTCTCTGTTTTTGGGTGTGTGTGTTAGTGACAGGGGAAATAATGTGGTTGAGAAGTGGCGGTGGGACTCTCGTTCAATAAAGAGAAAGTTCAGCTGCGTTGAGATTAAGTGTCATGACATAGCATGTGTGGACCGTTTAGATGATGGTCAGATTTTAAGGTCAGTCTAATCACCAGTAGCACAGCACACACTAAAGGACGTTTTTAGTCATTTATACATTTTGCCTGGTGCATTAGATATATATGTACATGCATGCACATATTTTCATAGGTTTTTTTAAGGTGGCTACTGACGAATGACAAACTACGAGGAGAGCAGAAGAGAGGAGAAGAAGTGGGGGGTGCATTGTTAGGGAATCCAAAGGCGGCGTAATTAGGCCCAATGGATCCCAGATGGCTGGCTGTCAGTGACGTGAGAAGAGGGACGAGCTCCTAATAGGAACCAGACGCACACAAACGCCTTTGAACTGCCGCTGAGAGAGGGAGAAGGAGAGAGAGAGAATCAAACGCGGCATGGGCCGTGCGCTCTTGCTAAATAACTGGCAGCGGGAGACGAGAGGAAGTGAGGAGGAGAGCGTAGAGGAGAGGAAAGTGGTCTCCCCTGAGCAGAGCAGTCAGTATGAGGGCGTCTCAGTCCAGATATGTCAAGGGTCCCATTCTTATCTGTTCGTGTCACTCTCAAATACAGACATTTTTCTCCACTTTCCCTAAATTTGCTTTGCTCTGACCGTTTTTTAATATATATACCCAGGAAGGTTTTTTTTTTAGCAGTGCTCTGCTTCACATTTAAACAGTTGCACACATTCACACCTGGGAGCTACCCCACCTTCTACAGTTGGCCGCTACCCAGGAGTGGATCGAGAACAGAGATCAAGCGCTTTGCACAAGGCCTTTGATAATTTATCTTTCATCCTTTTTAAATGGATGGAGTTTGCAATGAAGTAAATGTTTGCAGTTAACAATCCAGAAAAAAAGGGATTTCACTGTAAAAGCGTTCCAGTTGCAAATCAATCAACCCTGTGATGTTTTTTAAAACAGAAACCAAGTTTGTTCTTTTCAATAACTATTATTTTTCCGTCTGGTCTGATGTTAAATTAATCCCTCAATGACTTCCTCTCTCACATTACAATATAGTATGCACTGTTCCAAGTTTGCATTTCTTGCACAAACTATGAACACCTGTTGAAAACATGATTTCTTGAATGTACTATCTTGTTTCAGCCAGGCCACAGGGCTTGAATGGACGTAATGTAGGATAGAGCGTTTGTTTGACAGCGTGTTGTTTCCTCTGTTCCCCCTCAGAGCTGTGGTGATGCCCATCGCCCACGAGTTCTCCCCTGATGTGGTGCTGGTGTCCGCTGGCTTTGATGCCGTCGAAGGACATTTGTCGTCACTGGGAGGCTACAAAGTCACAGCAAAGTGTAAGCCTCAATCAACCCCGACAACACAGACAACGGCAGACACTCTGATAATAATTTCTCTGGAGAAAGTCTTAGAATGACCTCTGCCTCATATGAACTGTTGTTTTCTATTACCAGCCGAGACAGCGATGTGGATATTGTTTTCACATTGTGGGTCTCTGTGTGTGTCCATGGACACCTACTGTAGCGGGAACTACCACAGGGGAGGTTTTCAGAACCCTGCCATGTGTTTATATCTCTGCGGAGAGATTTTGTCACCGCAGAAGCGTCACAACCGTTCAAGATGCAGTCACAAAACTTAGCAGATGTTTAGTTAAGACCTAAATTATAGTCGTGATTGAATATGGGCTTGGTTTCGAACAAGGGGGCAACTGTAGAGATGTGATCGAAAAAGGTCTTAAGTTCACTTCTGTTTAGAGCTAGAAGTTGTCCTGCATTTCCTTATAATATCCATATTTTCAATGTAGGGACATAAAGCAGGATTGCGTTAATAGAAAGTTTAAATTCATAAAAAAAAAAATCATTAAAAAAATCATAAAGCCTAATCGCACCTCACAGTTGAAAATCTGTTTTCAGGTAAATAGAAGTGTAGATGGCACATTTTGGCCTCTTGTGATGTTTTAATTGAAACAAAAATTCTTCAGTGCAACTTCATACAGAACTTAGGCTTACGGTAATTTGTGCACTGATTTGAGAAAATGTTTGTTGTCAGGAACTTCTTCTTTTATTGTTTTCTTCTCTAAATCTGCAAAGATCTGTTTATAATAAATATTGACCTGAATGGAAGTGAATGGTATCTATAAGTCAGGAAGAGCTCAGAACTCATGATGGCAACCTCAATCACCTCAATGTTGAGAACTTTTCACAAACAATGAAGGAACCACTCAAAGTGTGTATGTGTATGTGTGTGTTGTTGTCCAGGTTTTGGCTTTCTCACACGTCAGCTGATGTCTCTGGCCGGGGGTCGGGTGGTCCTGGCTCTGGAGGGGGGGCATGACCTCAAAGCCATCTGTGACGCCTCTGAAGCCTGCGTCAGCGCCTTGCTGGGCATGGAGGTGAGACGTGTGTGTGTTAACCTACAGTATGTGTGTGTGTGTCTGTAGAGATACACAGTATGTTCCATCCTATAACCCTGACCCTGCCCTCTCCCAGGTGGAGCCTCTGTCCCAGTCCGTGTTGGACCAGAAGCCCTGTGAGAACGCCGTCCAGTCGCTGCAGAGAGTCATCCAGGTTCAGGGTGAGAACTCAACAAAAAACAACAACTACAGCTGGACGTATTCAGAGGAATTGCAGTACCGTGAAAAACACCTAGACATTTGAGTATTTTCTGTAGTGATGAGTTTCAGGTGCATTAACAAAGTAATAAGCCACATGTTAACACACACACATTTTCCATCTTATATTCACATAGGTCAGTGGAGTGAAAAAAAAAAGTCTTTCTTTCCAGCCGCTCACCTGCAGAGCTCAGCACCGACCCGCTACCTGCAAATTATCACTAAATCAATGCCAGACCTGACCCGGCCTGACACGTTAATATAAGACTCGCAGCGTGAACAGTAGGCTACCATATACGCTCGGAGCGGGCTGCTGGGCACTATATGGAATAACATGTTGCACGTGCAGATTGGCTGGCAGGAATGCCCCTCACGTTTTAAGAAAATGATTTTCACTTGTGTTTCCACCTGATGCACGACACCACCTTAAAACCAAAATCATATGTGATATTACTCGCAGCAGGCACCGCACGGACAGACAAATTCCTTGAATCTTCTGAAAGACATTTAGTTTTTAAATGAACCTTATGCTACCAACCTTGATTCTGCTACTTTTGTTTTATTTGACATCACACACCTTCAGCGTAAAAAAAAAGTTCTCAATTCTCAATCCACTTTTCTTGTTTAAGATCACATTTTCTATACATTTCCATACTCCTCTCTGCATATCCCTCCTGCTCTCTGGACACCTCTCCTCCTTAACCTCCCTGTCTCCCATCCCTCCCTCCAGCCGTCCCACACACACACACACACACACACACTCACACACTCACACGACCGCCCTGGCTCCAATTATCTTCAAACACTTCTCTGGCACACGACCTTCGCAACATCCCCTCCTGATTGCACACAAATGTTATCCCAACCAAATTAGATTAATTAAAAATATTTGCAAAGCCGCAAGAATGTTAAGTCCATAATTTAGGCCCGGGGTGAAATATATGTTATTTCCATGCATAGCCAGAACACACACCCACACACACACACACACACAAACACACCCACACACACACACTCATAGATGAACACATTTGAAAACACCGATTGGTTTAACTGTGTGTCGCAGGAGCCTGGAGACCCTGAGAGA